GTTGCACCAGAGTTGACTTCGTTGCTGACCGATACCCCGATTTGAGAATTAACAATGCTGCCATCTACTTCCGGCTGGTCGAAATTGACCAGCCGGAAGTATGTCTGCTTGCCAGATGTTACAAGTCTCTCTTCTCTTTCCTCCTCTCCCCCTCAGCGGTACGTCATGTAACGTACAATATAGTGGGTCTCCACAAAGAGAGACTTGGAGCAAGTCTAATCATTGGAAGACAATCGATCCAAGTTTTCTTCAAGAGGTTGAGTTATACTTCGCACATGGCTGTCAGTGTCACAAGTTCAAGGCATCAGCGAGGAACTTGACTGTGGAGTCAGTAGATGTCTTATTCTCTGACCACGAGGAAGCTGACACTAGGATGGGATTGCACGCTTTGCATGCCTTTCAACAACATGAAGAAGTTACGATCCAGTCTGATGACACAGATGTACTCATCATTTGCATCGGCCTCAATAAACTATTTTCTGCAAAACTGTATATTCAGCGCGGTAATGTGGCAAACTTGAGAACTATCAACATTGAATCGGTAGTCAGCATTTTACCAGATGGAGTGGCGGAAGCTTTGCTGGGTTTACACCCATTCACTGGCTGCGACAGCGTCAGCTGCTGGAAAGGAAAGGGGAAAGTGACTCCATACGAACTTATGATCACCAACCCGTCATACATCTCCGCCTTTACCACCCTTGGGCAAGAATGGTCTATTTCCAATGTTCCAATGGATGTTCTGGAGCAGTTTCTCTGCCAGCTGTACAACCGTCAGAGTATTCTACCTTCGTTGCTGGATGTTCGACTTAGAATTTTCATGAAAAAGTTCTGTTTGGACTCCAAGCTCCCCCTCCATCATGGATGAAGTCACCCAGCACACAAAGAGGGCAAATTACCAGGCTGCCATACTGCGCAGATCATTGGAACCGGTGATAAACGCTCCAAGTCCTATTGGCCATGGATGGATTTCTTCAGACGGTGAATGTCAACTTGCTATTCAGTGGATGACTGTTGCCGTAGCTCCCCCAGAACTACTCGAGCAAATTTATTGCTCATGTCGCAAGACAAAATGCTCTACCCGATTGTGTTCCTGTTTTTCGCGAAACATGCGATGTGGACCTCTTTGTAAATGCACTGAGTGCGAGAATGGTGAGCAAGTCTTTTCTGACCTTGTGTCTGATGCGGTCGACGACATCCTAAATGGTGATGACAGTGATTCCGATATGGACGCTTACATTTTATAAACGTTTTTATAGTTAATTTAAAGTGCTTATGCAACGAAATTTATATAATTAAAAGTTTACTTTTTTTGGAAAGAACTTTACAATAATTGGATGACATCCTTTACAGTTTTTCCACATCTTTTATTCTTGATATATTGAGGTTGGTTGAATTCTCTAATCACACAACCAATGACATCACACTGCATAATTTTGAGGTTATATTCGGTATTTTTGCCAGACTAAACGCAACAAAAGGAGTTTTAAATGACTTAAATAAATATCTTTGTAACAAAACCCAATCATTCAATAATTCATTATGCAGCGTGATGTTATTAGATGTGTAATTTGAAAATCAACAAACCTCAAGATATGGAAAAACTGTAAAGGATGTTATTCTATCATTTTAAACGTTCTTTCCAATAAAAGCAACATTAAAATAACATAACTTTCGTTGCATAGGCACTTTAAATGTTTTATAAGGTTCAATTCAGTAGAATTTAATTAATAAAATTTTAACAGCAGCATGGAGTTGCTGTTATGAATGAGGGCGCTGTTCTACTCAAATGACGTTACAATTACATCGCAACTAAGATAGCATCATTTGCTGACACTACAGTAAAGGAGCAATATATGAACATATTGAGTATATTGTTAAATTGTAAAACATTTGTGTGGTTATATATAACGAGTAGCTTTGAAAGTTTTGACTGTTGACACTATTTTCTCGCAAATGAAAAGCTCAGATAACGTTAATTCCGAATGACTTAATAATTAATAGGTGAGTTTCACTTGGAGGGCAAAATATTTTAAAATTAAAGGTACAATGCTGGATGTTTAATATTTTTGTTATATCCTTACTGCTACAATCATGGCAAAAATTATGTGGACACTTACGTGTAAACTAAAGTATTACTGGTCATATACACATGCAGGCGTCTTTGTCTCCCCCCTGCAATGTTGGTTTTTACATGAATTTCACCAAGCTTTCACCTAATCAATTTATAATCTTTCAATATTGAACGGGGGGAGGGAGAGTTAAAAATTGCTGTTTTTGCACGTATGTATTGGGCAAGCAGGTATTTTCATTTCCGCGTGCGCTGTCCACAATAATTTTTCCCAGGATTGTACTGTTCACAAAAATGTTTGAGTCGATTCACGTATTTCTCCTCCAGTTACGGCGATTTGACAATATTTTTTGCTGAGTCAGCATTTTTTCCAAAGGCCGTTTAAATTATGTTATACACACAATTAAGTTAAAAAACATCTTTGAGATTAAGACGTGGCTTCTAATATGACCTCAAAAAGAATCGAAACATTTTGGCTAAATCTCGTTGTTATTTTAGCATTTCATTTTTGGCCGAACGGTTGGAGGTCAAATTTTGTGACGTCACGGTGAACCCACCTATAGAGAGACTATCACGTAGAAAACATTGTATTTTATGATTCCATCAATACTCCTTTATTCATTTCTGTAATCAATTCCTAGTCCGAACATTGAGGACTTCATCTCAAAATCTAAGCGTCTGGCAGATTTCGTGCTGCGGACTACCTGATCTTTCATCTTCGTTTATTCACGGTTAATAAGGCTTCATAGGCTCGAAATATCGAGCGAAATATTGTGACTTCGAAATCACGAACTGATTATAAAAAATGGCGGGGTGTAAATTCAGTGCTTCCACTTCCACTTTCAAAAAAATAATTTCCTTCCCAACTGCTCAAAATTTCCTTATTTTTGACAAAAATTCCTTTGATGAAGATGAATTTCACCTAGTTTAAAACTGATATTACAATAATTTATCCTGAATGACGGTGTATTTCTCGGGTGAGAAACACCATGAACCTTGCAATTATAAATTATAAATTAATTATAAAAAACTGCAACAGGAGGCTTGAGGTCATGTCTCAGAAATTTTTCAGATTTTCCATTCCCCTGGAGTAGGATTTGGATTTTTGACATTTCCTGACGCGAATTTGCTTGAGAATTGCTATAATCTTAGGATTTATTAGAAATAACATGATATCCTTATTTCCTTGCTGAAAACAAAATTCCTTGCCGTTTCCTAGTAAATTTTATTTCTTTTTGCAAAGAAATGTCCTTGCAATTGGAAGCACTGCATGGGATGACCAGTGTAGGCAACAGTTGAAGCCTCCCCCTTTTCTCACCCTCCGCCCCTCACCCCCCTTCCATTATTAATGATTGGTCCCTTATCTGTGTAACTATAAAATACGGTTCTATTTTATTTCATTTTGCTAAGTAGGAAAATTCAGAATGTTTTAATTTAAATAGACTATTTTATACATATCTGCAAATTGTAATCCTGAATCCCGGTAAATGTAAAATAGGATTAAAATAGTGTATTTTATTATATTTTGCAAATTAGTGAAAGTAAATAGGTTTAAAATAGTATATTTTATCCCTATTTGAAAAATGTGGCAGTTTTAAAAATGTGCAATAGGTTTAAAACAGTCTATTTTATTCTGTTTTGCGTATTCTGAAAAATAAATAGCTTTAAAATACTATATTTTATATCTATTTTAATTTATGTAATATTCTGCACGTGCAAAATATGTTTAAAATAGTCTATTTTATTGTTATTTTGCTAACTATGAAAGAAAGATAGGATTAAAATAGTATATTTTATTCCTGTTTGAAATTTGTGCATTTAACTTCCAATGTAAAATAGGATTTAAACAGCCTATTTTATTTTATGAGTTTAAAAATAGTATATTTTATATCTATTTTAATTTCTAACTGCTTTCTGGTGAAGTAAAATAGAATTTAAATAGGCTATTTTAAACCTATCTTTTCCCTGAGGCTCTAAAAAATACTATTAAAATATGCGATTTTATTTCTATTATCTATAAAAATAGAAATAAAATAAAATAAAACATTAATAAAATATGGCTCTTTCTTTTAGTGAAATATTATGATAGAATTAAAATAGGGTTGCCTCTGAATAAAATAGCATAAAAATAGGGATGATAGTAATAAAATGGTTTTAAAATAGCAATATAATATAGTTATTTTCGCAAGGGAAATAGGCAAATAAAAGTGTTGGTCAGAATCGTATATTTTCACCCTTGAGAGTTGGATCTAAAACGATTGAAAATTAACCCCCTATAGGACTTAAGTTGATGATTTTTTACTTCGAATTCATTAAACTACGCACATCTTCATAATTATTATGAAGTAGGAATAAATCTTATCTAAGCTGTGACAAGTTCGTGATTAATTCCTTTTTCTTTTGTTATGCACTGCTTTAATTAGACACAGAGGTGAAGATATTCGATTCTGACTAACATTTTTATCGGACTCGTACGTGCTTGTTTGTTCTCCACTTGGCATGAAAATAATGTCGTTCAATAGCTAAAAACCTGATCTTTCAGAATATGAAAAACGTTCGTTCATACGCCGAGTAATTCACGTACAATATACCATGCTGAAGTTGATTACCTTTTTTTTTATACACGTTTCGAGATAAAGTAACTTATTCAATCACATTTTGCAATGGTAATTAGTTATACGTAAAAAGAATAAAGGTAATCTGTACATTTGTTACTTTCGGAGATATTTTGTGCATGCTATCAACTAGCGTCAGTTTGAATTTACTGCTACCTCATGTAGCTAGTCACCCACGAATGTTGTTTATTAATATTCTCCACTAAGACAGTCATTTTCCCATGGTTTGTACCCCCTACCATTAATTTTAGTTATTATACTAAACTGAAAAAAGAGAAAACCTGAAATCTGACATTAATTACGGCATAGCCAGTACCGTGAACATCTCCCGCACAACCATGTTAAGAACTCCTCGATTATCTCTACACTGGCAAGTATTTCATGTAAGACCCAGGAAACGATTTTAGTAAATTACAGTATAAGGCATGTCTGAGAATAAGAGTTAGTCATAACCCTGAGACTACCTCGAACCTTGCTCTAACAGTTTTAACACTATCCGACTGTTTTAATTAACCTCAAGTTACCTCAAACATGTGTTCCTCGCACGAAGTAGTAACTTCTATATTACTATCCAAACTAGAAAAGGCGCGGTTCAATACGTCTAAAGAATTGAAATAATCGCGCTTTTTCCTATTTGCAAAAAAAACTTTTATTATTTTTTCTTTGAAAAATGCAGTACATTACGAAATTTTGAAGCCTTCTTGCTGCTTTATTTGATATCTTTCCTTTGTATTTTATAATTCGCTTTCCTTTAATTAACCAAAGGTGACGGAATATTGTTGTGGTATGAACATTTGATGTAAAAGTTATGACGTCACTCAGTTCAATATCATGTCAAAACTCTATATTTCGTAGCTATTGAGTTGATATGACGAATTTACAAATAGTATTTAACCAATCAGAAACCACAAATTATTTTAAATGAATATATAGTATCGGTAATAGCATGGTTTCGAGTGCAACTTGGATATAACATGCACGAGTGAGTTTTCAAAGACCTCAAAATAGCACGAGTGCGAAGGACGAGTGCTATTTGAGGTCTTTGAAAAACTCACGACTGCCTCGAAAAACTCACTTATCCAAATTTCACAAGAAACCATGCTATTACTTATAATAATTTACATAAAAATGTTCGAGACAATTGTAGTTTTAACTTACGTCTATAGAAAACATTCCATTGGCAATTAAAGTTTTCCTGGCTTTGTTATAACACGTTATACAACGCTAGCAGCTTGAAAATTCCACTCAACAGTGTAAGTTTTGTTAGTCTTGTTCAAAGTAAAAACTTTTCCATTTAAAAATAAAGATAAGAGCCATACTTTCTGCGCAAAGTCAACTTTTACTTTATGTAGCGCGGCGACATGTTTGTTTTGTTTTGAAGCGAACCGTGACCGTTACTTCTTTACACTAAACTGCTTTGAACTGATTGGTTGATTTTGTCATCACAATATTTTCCCACCAATCAGATCAGTTTGTTATAGATTTTTGCACTGTTGTTACAGATTTTTGCACTGCTGTTTGGGATTAAATGCACTGAAATCAACCAATCACAGTCGAGTAATATCTTTATGTATATTATTAATAATGTTAGATAACACAGTTTTACGGCGCAACAAGATTTCCATCTATACTTTGCATTATAAGTTAGTTGAACAGAAATAAACTCTAAGTTTCAAGTAATATTGTCTGAAATCGACTGTAAATAATCAATAAAAACTTGTGAAAGTTATGAGATTCCTATTTATTCGTTAATAATGCTATCTTACTATAAAATAAAATATTTTTTTTTAGATAAACCCGCTGCCTAGAAAGTCCGATGGCTCTTATACCTTCAGTGCACCGATAACTCCCAAGTACAATAGTAAGGAAATTTCACTGACTTAGGGGCTGATTACATGAACCGGGCCAGCCCGGTTAACCGGGCTGAAAAATGTCACGAAAATCTTCCTTGGGCCGCAAAATGAGTTTTGAGTCAGGTTTAGGATGATTTTGCATCTATACTAAACCAATTATTTATCGCAAATTTATTTTACGCAAGTTTTAAAACCACAGTAAGGTCCGAAACAAACGAGTCAGCCCGGTTAAATGGGCCAGCCCGGCACCATGTAATCAGCCCCTTACTCAGAAGTTTAATACTAAAATGTTTTATTAATTTAATTTGCTGAATTAAAATGGCTTTCAAAGATGTTGTCACCTCGACCAACGGCGGCACGCCTGTCTGGAAGTCTAAAGGCCGCACGGGACCCTGATAATGGACAACTGTATATTCATGCCACCGCCACTAACAGCATATATATTTGAATAACTGTGACAATTTCGCATACAAAAACATAAGTTGGTTTCCATGACTACCGTTTTGGGCACGGCGCCCTATAATGGGTACCCTTGTCCAAAATTTCACTTCTACATTTGCATTATTGAACATCAATTTTTGGAATGTCTAGTTTTATGAACGGCACCCAATATTTTGCCAACCGCGATACCTCTAACCACGATCACTACAGCACGTTTTCTCCGCGAATGCAGAACGTTTAACCCTTCAAACAATCTTGTCCCCAATCATACTGCAGTGCGCGTGGTGGCGTTCCGGGCGTAAGCCCCAGAGTAGGGTATAAATTCCGCTTGGCTATTTACACGAGGGGAAAGGAAAGTATTAGGGATGTCTAAAGTTTTTCAACAATCGCGGTCGCGTGGCTATGCTTCATGATGCAATGGGTGGACCTGCCCACTGTTCTCAAAAACATGCCTGTTTACTTCAAATACATGCATGTATAGCAACCATTCGCTAATATTTTCCAAACATTCATTTAACATGAAGTAATGCAACCAACAGTGCTGTAGTATTTGTAGGATGCGATAAGTTAATAATTAACTTCTAAGCATGTAACAAACGTTGATTGACATTTGTAATAAATCATCATTCAGTCTATTCCATAATGGCGACGAGGATGTAAAAATAAACAGCGTGAAAAATATAACAGAAAACTAGAATTGCGGCACAAAACATACAGCCTATGCCTGCTTTTGAACCAAGAAGTGATCCTACAAGTACAAGTACAGTGTACAAGTGCAAGATGGACACGATGGCTGGAGAGATTAAACACATATTTACTTGCAGCAGATATTAAAGACGATGCGAGAAAGCGAGCTTTATTATTGTATCAGGCGGGGCCCGAAGTACACGAAATTTTCAGGACTCTATAAGAGGGCGAAACCAAAGATTTTAAGTCAGCAGTGAAAGCGTTGGCGGAGCATTTTGAACCAGAGAAAAACGTGATATATCTCACCTATGTTTTTAGACAAGCGACGCAAGGCAAAGAGGAATCAATCGACGAATTTCATACACGTTTGCGAGGATTGGCAAAATACTGCGAATTTACAACATAGATTTTGAAATTAAGATGCAGATTGTTACGAACGGCACTTCTCCAAGATTACGAAAGAAAGCACTACAAGACCCAAAATATAGTTTGGCAAACATGTTAATCGATGGACGAAAATACGAAACTAGTTCAGCTCAAGCCGTTGGGATCGAAGAACAATTCAAAACAAGGGGAAATATAAATGCAATGGCTATGACAACGCCCACTGAGAAAAAGTGTTATTACTGCGGGTTCAAGTATCCACACGACTCAACCGTGCTCAGCGAAGTCTGCTATTTGTAGCCACTGCGGAATAAAGGGACACTTCGCTAAAGTCTGTCGAACACGAGGAAAATCTTTCGCAAGTAAGGGAAACCTTGAGAAATTACAAACGCAAGGTTTTACCTCCCCAGACAAAAGGTACCAATCACGATGGGATGAGAATAAACAACGAAAACAACAAGCAAAGGCTGTCGGAATATCACAAAGCGAACCAAATACTGAATGCTCGGAAGAAGAGGATTATGTTTACACAGTATCGCAAGAAACGAGGGAGAAAACACACGCGACCGTAAAAATAAATGGACAGGACGTTTTATATTTGGTTGACACTGGCGCGACTGTTGACATCATTGATTCTACGACATACGCGAAATTAAAGAGGGAAAGTTCATTACGTAAAAGTGCAACTAAAATCTACGCATATGGATTTCACACACCTCTGCCTCTAAACGGACAATTTCAAGCAACACTCGAATCGAAAAAGCGTTATACCGTGTCGCAAATATATGTAATAGACAGTGCAGGAAGAAATTTACTAAGTGCTAAAACAGCCCAAGATTTGGCCTTGGTCCAGCTAATTAACGCAATTTCAGGTTTTCCTGAACAAGATGAACAAAGAAAGACAAATCAAAACAATACAGACAGCACTGCATGCGAGACCAATCCAGAAATCAACACAAGTGTTCCTCAATCAGAAGACCCAAAAATGCAAGAAATCATAAACAAATATAGTACAGTTTTTAAGGGGCAAGGAAAATTGAACAATCAACAAATTAAACTTCATATCCGAGACGATGTCAAACCAGTTATGCAGCGGCAAAGACGTATATCATATCATGTGAGAAAGGATGTTGTTAAGGAACTAAAGGAACTAGAAGAGCAAGACATTGTCGAGAAAGTCGCCAATCAACCAACACCATGGATATCTCCAATAGTCGTCACGCCAAAGAAAGACGGAGGTATTAGACTATGTGTAGATATGAGGGAAGCAAACCAGGCAATCGAAAGAGAGAGACACACAATGCCAACTTTACAAGATTTTAAAGCTGAGGTAAATGGAGCAAAATTCTTCTCAAAGATTGACCTAAAGCAAGCATATCACCAGCTCGAATTACACCCGGACAGTCGATTCATTACAACTTTTTCTACCCATGAAGGACTGTTCCAGTATAAAAGATTAAATTACGGTACGAACAGTGCAGCCGAGATATTCCAAAATGTGCTACAACAAACCCTTAGCGATATCAGAGGAG